GTATTACTCCTGCACTCGTTTGCCTTGTGACCTTTTTTATTACATTTGTAACAGATTATAGCTTTAAATGCAACTGATCTTGTCTCTTCTTTAATTTCATTTTTGTTATTGCACAATTTCAACTCTTCATCAAGTAATCTAGCTTTTACAAATTCAAGTGTAATGGTTTCGGTAATGGTCTCTATGGCTGTAATTACTGTATTGAATTTCTCTGGTAAACCAATCATCAAATAACAAATTTTGTCTTCTAATGCTATCTGTGTGTCAAGCGATTCTAGCTCACGTGTCAAGTTATCATATCTCTGAAAATAATCTTCTAGTTTTTCTGTGTCGGCCATTTTTAATGTTAAAAGTTGCCGTCGTAATCGTAATTTAGACAATACACTTTTTCTTTGAAAAATCCTTGATAATGTTTCCAACATATCTTTCGCTGTTTTGCAGTCTTTTATTATGTTTAAGTATTTATCGGATGTACACTGCACTATAATTAACTTTGCCTTGGCGTCATTTTTGTTATAATTTTCCAATTGTTCTTTAGTCAATTTACTACAATCAGTGTCTAAATCGCTTACTTGTCTTTCGTTCAATAAACATTTTAGTCTAAACATCCAATTATCGAAATTAACTGCCTTCAATTGCGGATATTCGAAGTGGCTTGAGGACGCCATTGTAGTCCAATATGACACACTTTATTATCATGAATATATGTTACTACTCACGGATTCCGCTGTTCCCATAACCTGTTGAAACAATCTGCGTTTTGGACAAATCGTTTATTCATTATAAGAATCAGGAGTGTAACATAATATTTAATATAATCACATTTTCGGTAAGAGCGTAACATTGCAAGCACAGTACAGCGAGAAGAGAGCAACCAGAGACTTTTATTTTTAATAATAGCTATGACATAACAGTTTATAGCATTGGCTTACAGTATTGATACTTATCATATCCAACAATAAGTACCCACGTTCTGTCATAGTGCATTCTGTCGCAGCGCAACATTAAATGGGGAATTCCCGGCTAAGGCCTACGGGTACGGCCAGAGTGCACTCAGATTCAGATTCAGACTCAGAAAACAAGCGCGAGAAATAAACAGTGTAGTTAAAGCAGGGTGGCCATAGTGGCAGCTGGCAACCTGCTTAAACTACACTGTATATCTCGCGCTTGTTTTCTGAGTCTGAATCTGAATCTGAGTGCAGTACCCGTACCCTACGGGTGCGGCCAGAGTGCACTCAGATTCAGATTCAGATTCCGAAAACAAGCGCGAGAAATAAACAGTGTAGTCTAAACAGGTTGCCTACTTTTTCTCGCGCTTGTTTTCTGAGTCTGAATCTGAATCTGAATCAGGAGTGCACTCGGGCCGTACCCTTTGACTACAGTGTTTATTTCTCGCGCTTGTTTTCGGAATCTGAATCTGAATCTGAATCTGAGTGCACTCTGGCCGCACCCTACCTGTCTACGACCGATACCATAGTATCTTTAATCTATATAGAGTCGCGTTCAGTTTTCAGTTTTTCGTTAAAGATTTGGTACCCTACTCTATGAATCTCTCATGAAATGAAAAGTTGCTAGAAAAATAGCTAAATAGTTTAGCTACAAATTTTATTAAATTGTAGCTGTGTGATACCAAATAATAGCTAGATCTAGCTATAAAGTTGCTAAGTTGGCATCACTGGCGGGATGAGGTACTCACGTATAGCACACTAAAGAAAATATGCAATACTCCCACAAACGAGCGTGTTGTTGCTATAAACGCACACTTCAAAAATTAGGTTACAGAAACAAAAAAACGCACACATGCTAACAATTTTTATTTAATGAGTTAACTATGCAATAGAACGTAACCAACACAAAATTAGGGATGCGACATTGAAAGAATGAACGACATTTGAATGAACAGTTTTTGATGAATGAACATAATGTTTGTTTATAAATAAAACAAAATGTTTCATTTATAAATATCTATCTGAAAGCTTATTTATAGTTTTAGTAGTTATGATTTTTATGCACAAAATTCAAAGTTTTTTTTTGCAAATAGGCTAGTTGACCCTTTTTGGAAAAAGGTTTTAAATGGTTAATAAATGTTCTATTAGATCGAAAAAAAAATGTATTGTATTTTTTTGAGACCTAAAAAGCTACAAATCTTTAATTTTAAAATAGATTTTTCATGGATATACAAAAACGCTGTCGGCCATTTTAGTCTATAGATTATCTATGCTATGACGTTATCTGCAGTAAACACATAGGAAAGGTAAATAAACATAAACTCGTAAGCACGTAGAAAATAACTTAACTGACTTTATAATAATCAAAAGATGATTTCTAATAAATACCCCGAAAAATAAAGTAATTATCATTATTGTATTGTACGAGAATATAAAAACACATCCTTGAAGACTCCAGGAAAGTTTTGGATTAAAAGTGCCGAAAGAAATTAACCTACGCAACTTTATTACACTTATTCATATGTTGTATCAGTTTTATGTTTATTACTACATTGGTGTCGATTCTAGCATGATTCTCTAAACCTAAACTTAAATTTGACAGCAGTATATCCTTGTCATTCTCTATACAGAATGAAAAGGAGAGACTGATGTCAAATTTAGTTTTAAGTTTAGAGAATCACGCCAGAATTGGCACCATTGTAATACTAAATACACTGTACTTACATAGATGCCTTGTCGTTTCTCTGCTCCGCAGAGCAGATCTCGGAGTTTAGTGCAATAAATTCACCAACCATGAATGCGTCAATTCTTGGCAGATTTGTGCTTTCTGTTTTCACAAAGCCGGCATCCATAATTAGTTTTTTCAAAAAAAAACAGTAAACGGAAACTTTTCTAAAGTTAAAAGTGTTTTAAGATAAATTTAGTCAGACGAAAGAATCCACCCACAGTAACACGCGAATGACATTTAGTTGTTTACCTTATGAGACGTCACAATCATGGCGGATGTGGCGAATAGCGTTTTTAGTGTTTAGAAAATATAGACTAAAAATTATTTTTTTAAATTCAATTTCTACAGCAATCTTCTGCTTTTATGAAGTGAAATCGATATATTTAGGTTCCTTAGACGAAATACTTTAAGAAATAAACATTTATTTAATACAATTCGACATGAGTCAACTAGCCTATTATACTGCTATGCAAAAAATCTTTCCAACTGATTTTGCTGCCTTTTATCGGATACCCTGCCTATATTTAATTGCTTTCACACCCTTAATAATAGCATACGCAGTATATAGTCACAAAACACTGCGTAACTTACCCAAGCTTATCCATTCTTTGTTTAATATAATGGGGATAGCGAATAGGCTAGTTGACCCTTTTTGGAAAAAGGTTTTAAATGGTTAATAAATGTTCTATTAGGCCCAAAAAAAATGTATTGTATTTTTTTGAGACCTAGAAAGCTACAAATCTTTAATTTTAAAATAGACTATTCTTGGACATACAAAAACGCTGTCGGCCATTTTAGTCTATAGATTATCTATGCTATGACGTTGACGGTAGTAAACAAAAACTCGTAAGCACGTAGGAAATAACCTATCTGAGTTTATAATAAAAAAATTGTGTGTGTCAGCTCCGACGCACGACCGGAGTTTACACTCTAAAAACGATTGTCTTTGAACAGATACAAAACAAAATCAAGTCCGCAGAAGTCGGTTACAAGTAAAGATACCTCAGGAATCGTCCCATGGTTTCGACTATCATAGGTTCCATGTCACACATTTTATCATCTAACATCAGCGATATTCATCATATATTTTATTATGTATTTCTGGAAACACACAATTTCAAAAATATCACACACTAGTCATCATTTTGTAAATATGTATTATAATTCCATCTGTACTGAAAATCACTATTCCAGAGTGCTGGACACTTACCGGAATTTCTCTATATTCTGTTATTTATTGGTTTTCATTAATTTTGCCCCGATTTTATCTATTTTTAGTTTATTTATTTTATTGACATTTGTCTTACTTAATGTTTTTTATCCGTTGCCATGGCTAAAAGTGAAAGGTGCGCAGATGAGGTTGCGCACAAAAACGTAACGAGGTCATTAATGTCATTCATCGATAGATTTTACTCCTCACATTTTTCTCATACCGGGCCCCTTATATATGCAAATCGATTCTTATGGAGTAAACTCCAAAAAAAAACATGATTTCTAATAGATACCACGAAAAATATAGTAATTATCATTATTGTATTGTACGAGAATGTAAAAACACATCCTTGAAGACTCCAGGAAAGTTGTGGATTAAAGTGCCGAAAGAAATTAACCTACGCAATACCTGGTTAGAACCAAAAAATCGAAACCGCCTTGCCAATGAAAGTTTGAAAGCAGTTTTACGTGTTGCTACAAGTAAATTTGAGCCAAATATAAAAAAGATTGTAAGCACTATGCAGTGCCACGCTTCAAATTAATAAATTATTTTCAATTTTAATAAATTATTTATCAATTCTTTATTGTCTTTAATAACCGCCATCAGTTCATGATTTGCCCGAGTGGCCCCTAGTCTTAAGTCTGTGCATCCCTGTCTTAGAGCATATACCAATGAAGGTGCCATACCGTTCACTCGCTGAATAAAAAAATTCACCATTTTTGGTGCGGGACGAGGTACACAAGTATAGAAAAAAAGAGACGCTCTATTAACGTTTCATGGTGTGTCGTGGCGCGCCAGAAGCACATTGGTTTCATACATTTACTATGGTTAGAAACACATTTACGTGTCGTGTCGTGTCGAAGTTCTACTAATCTCTGTCTTTCTAACCCATAATAAATGTATGAAACCGCGTGTCACGACACGTTAATATGCACACGGCTTTAGAAACATATTTACGTGTCGTATCGACGCTTTGACCCCTCTCTCTCTCTAACCCTTAATAAATGTTTCAAATCGATGCGTAACGACACGCCACGACACGTTAATATGTTTCTGGCTTAAAATTATAACAAGAATCATGTCACGTCACGACACTTATCACTTATGTCAATGTCAGTCAGCACATCAAGAGAGAGTTTCGTATTTTTTCATTAATTTACTTTTGCAACTTTATTCTGAGTTAAATTGACTAATAGCATATGCAATGGAAACCTACGAAAGCGTCCTTCTCGTGAAAAATGAAGTTTTCGTTTTTAAAATTCCTCCAAAGACATCCAATAGGGGGTACAGGTAAGTCATTGTTGTGCACCAACATGAAAAGTGTACTTGGAAGCGATTTGACGGTGATAAGTGGGCGTTTTTCAGGGCGGCTGATTGGAATTTACAAGAGCCTCAATGGACAGGCCGCATGCGACTTGTATCCAAGGGGGAAGAGCTGATTATGAAATTAGAAGATAAAACATCAGGAGAATTATTTGCAAAATGTCCTATTGATAAATATCCAGGAGTAGCATTGGAGTCTGTGACTGACAGTTCGCGTTACTTTGTAGTTAAGATTCAAGACGATAATGGTATTATTGGTTTTACATAGTGATTTACTGTTTTTTTTTTTTCAAAAAAAAAAAATGTTTTTGTAAATTTTGTTGATAAGGTTGCTGTATTGACTTGCAGTATATTGTATTTTTAGGAAGAACTGCTTATATTGGCTTGGGATTTGGTGATAGGTCTGACTCATTTGACCTCAATGTTGCTTTGCAAGATCACTTTAAGTGGTTGCGAAAGGAACAGGAGGGAGATCAAGCTCCATCTCAGCAACTTGATTTGGGTTTCAAGGAAGGTGAAACTATTAAAATCAATATGAAAATTACCGTAAGTTATTGTTAATATTGTAAAATTATAGCATCACATTTTCATTAGCATCTAACAACTGCTCTGTTAGCAACCCACCAATCCTCACTGGGCCACACTGGGTAAAAGTCCAATCTTTCTATACCATCCATAGGGAAACTCTGGGCTGTGGTCATTAAAAGACAGATGATGATGATTTTCAATTTATCGATAGTGGAAAAACAAATTTGTATATTTGTCACTTTGGTTGTGCTTAAAAATTAACTTTTTCAGTTTTTATTTAATGTTAAATTTTAAGCACCACCAAAGTGGTGTATAAGCAAATTTGCTTTTCCACTGTCGATATATACTAGTGATGGGGATTCAAATGAGGATTCAACCAAATACAACTGTTAGGGTTAAATCATCATGAGTCTATTTATGCTGTCACTGCTGGAGCCCAAGGGTTTGTATAAAAGTAATAAGGAGAACAGACCATGAACAATGACTTGCATAATCATTTTCACTCATCTATAATACAAAATTTACAAAACTGAATATTCATATGAAGTAGTTGATTATCCAGAGCGAACAGGTGTTTACTAAAGTTGATTGTCATTTATTTAACATTGTTGTATTATTTAAGAAAAATAATTTGAATAATCAATCGTTGTTTCTGACTATCTTAAAACTTACTTTATTAACGGAATGCTCATACAAGTCCTAGAGACGCATGAACACTATCAATGTAGTGCTGTATTAGTGGTATTAACAATATTTTCAGAAAAAGGATGGAAACGAATCAAGTAAGCCTCGGCGTGGTCTCGGCTCTAATGCCATTGGGGGCTTGCTCCCGCCACCGCCTGGCGGGTCGAGGCTTCCCCCACCTCCGTCTCCGCAGCACGCTCCCTCACCATCCACGGCTGTCCCCCCTCAGGCAGCTAACTCGGAATGGGGAGACTTCAATTCTGCCAGGTAGTTTTTAGACGTCATGTGATATTTAAACGAATTATTAGACTAATAAATTTTCTTTGTGTATTACATATGATATGTTGTGAGCACTTATTTGTTTTCAATATTTATTTTCTTTGTGACTTGTGTATTTAAGTATCACAAAGTAAATAAGTAAGTGTATCATACAGTAGGCACTGTTCTATTAATGAAATAATATTTTGAACCAGCTGTTTAGAAAATATACTAGTGAAAACTTCTAGAAACTGATAAATATCTGAATCTTGTTTCACTTAAATTAATACTATTGTTGCGGAAGTAAACCATAAAGACTAGAAGGATTATGATAAAACCTACAAAAAACACAACAATGATAAGCTTAATGAAATAATTGAAATCTTTTGAACTTTTGCTTGATTTCAGCACTACCAGCCAAAAACCAGCAGCATCCGCCAACCAGCAGAACTGGGTGCAGTTTTGAAGATGTGTGGTGAGCATGTGATTGATGTCAGCAGTGCAAAACGTGTTTAGAGTGAATTGATGCACAATACTTACATAAAAATATACTTAATGAGTTAGAAATAGCATATCAGTTGTCTAATATGACTGAGAACATAATATTAATAATATTTAAATGTATTGTACACAGGTGCATCATCAACAATTAAAGATTTAATGTTGTACTGATATTCAAAAAATGTTAATGCAGCAAGTTTTGTTGTAGTTGATCGCAACTACAGAAAAAAGATTATTTTATTAATAAAAGTGCATGTTACTTAATTTTTTGTTGTTGTTCAGGCTACCATTATGTTATCATATCATATTCGTTAGGTATATACAAAGAGGCAGTAAAGTTTACAATTATTTCATTAGGCATCTTTTGAAATGAATATTCTCTAGAGTTAATTTTATTTAGTTAAGTGAAAACAATCATTCCATTGAGTTAATTTAAAGTAGCAATTGACTGTTGTTATAAATTTAATCACTATCTTATTACCTATATTTTAATTATGTGTGTACAGTCATGATTCTTTTCATAAAAGCACATAATGTTACAGGGCGAAGGCAAAATAAAATGTCATAGTTGTTTTTTTATGATAATTATACCTGATATACATTAAGGTCGATGGTGATGTATTAGCGCGTTTGTTCTGCTATAGTGGAAGTTAAGCAACTTTTGCAATGGCCGGCCGTCAGATGGGTCACCAAAAATTTATTATTTCGAGATTCTCCGTGCTTCCTGAGGCACGTTAAGCCGTGGGTCCCGGCTGCATCTGCAGTCGATAGCACCAGGCACGGTGGGTGATGGTCAAATCTCGCTATCCTACAGGTAAGGTCTGTGCCCCAGCAGTGGGGACATTAAAAGGCTGATGCTGACACATAAAGATCAAGAAAATTTGTGAGTTAGCGTGTTTGCACACACTTGTCAGTGATACTATATTCTAAACAAACTAGTATAAAGAACTATTCCTCGTTCATACTGTACCTACATTATTGAAATACACTCAAGAGCAATAAAAATGGTTCGGTTATAATTATGTCCTTGTAAATTTTTGTATTAAGTATTTTTATATTGAATAATAATACTTTGAAAATATAATTCCTACTATCGTATTCTGAATTGAAGATTGCATCTTTTAGCAGAAAAGTAACTCAAGATTTTCTTTTATACAATGCGCTTCCAATGATCTCATTCACTTGATGTTAATTGTAATTGCTCTCCTTGCTAGTCTAAACTCATTCCCATGAAGCTTGACTGGAAACTTAGGTACACACCAACAGAATCACAAAACCATGATGGAATGTTATTTTCCTGTGGTATATTGTAAGGCGGATTTAACGTCCTAAATAGCTCTCCTATTTGAGCAGGATATCCGCTGTGCCTGAACCCTCTTGTAAATTGAATATATCTATTGAAATCCACTGAGATTTCTTAAAAACGATAAAATATGTTGGTTTACGAAATAGAGATGATCCGAATTTATTGCTTGCAAGTGTTATATTTTTATGTTGCATTTTTTTTATCTTAACACTATGTTATAATTATAACATTCTATTAATATATTAAATTTGTAGGTTATTCTAAATTAGATTACGAGTTGTTGCTCAGTTAGTCGATTAGGCACATATGAGTTTGGTGATGTCTGAAATTTTTGACTAAACTAACTTGTAATAATTTATTTTCTTACACGTAATTCTATAATGACTGTTGTGACATACCACAGCAGTAAAAGCAAAAAATAAATAATATAAAGATAATGTGCAAGTGTTCATGTATAGTATAAATAAAATATAACAGTAGAAGCTGTGGAAATGGTTCTGTAGTTTTTGATGACGCAGTATCTAGAAATTGTTAAGTACAACATTTCTACTCCTTTAATATCGTTTCCTTAAAGAAATGAATAGGTACAAATCGGTTCACAAAAGATGACCGCAAATGGCGGCCGTCTTAGCATATTCACTCCTGAACATAGACATTATAAGAATTGAGTGGGGAAGGTGTCTCTAAAAGTGTCCGTCTAGTAGAAAGAAGATGAGTGACCGCTAGCTATCTCTCTCTCTTGTGACGCATGGTATCCGATGGCATCACATCGAAATAGTAAGATGCTTACGGTTGCCAATGCGCATGCACGATTAGAGAGAGAAAGCTAGCAGTCTCTCATCTTCTTTCTATTAGAGGGACACTTCCACTTGCAGTAGAGTCTATATCCCCCCTTCTCTATTCTTATACCTCTATGCTCCTGAATGGCTCTTTCAGCTGCGTCAATGCCACGGTGACGATAGACGATTAGCGACTGAGCTACCTATCTTGCAACGCGCACACACAATGGCGTCGCTCCGTCTTACATTTCTGGACTTCATATTGAGTGTACATGAGATTTTGTATCGCATTTGAAAATTATTGTAAGCATCTATGTTGTTGTTGTCATCAACAATAACTCTTCATTATGAAAAACATTTATAGAAAAGCACAATCGAATTAAACATCCTTCACTTTTAGAACACTGGCCGAGCGATTTGCTAACGTGCAGTCGAGGTCTGTTGGTAGCTATAATTTGAATCATATTGCGCAGCAATAAGAGTTATATTTGCAGGCCAAGTGCATAATGTTTTCGATGATTGATGTTAATGACCGTTCTTCATTAGAAAGTTACTGTAATAGCCTGATTTTTTTCTTAAATATGATACTAATTTTATGTTTGCGTTAAAAAATTATTACACTTGGCACCCTATTTTAAAATAACTTACTCGTATGTCAGTTCTATTCATATTATTTTGTTAAGTCTCTTATGAATTTTATGGCTGTTGTCTACAGGATTGGAGCTGGGGTGCTGTGCACCTCTTTATGGCAAAGAGAATGCCATTTCATGGTGATGTACATTTAAGAATTTCATTTTTACTTATTAAAACGCAACTCATTTGTCTAAACTGAGAATGGGCAGCTGTGGTATTCACTAACGACGTCTTTTACGACAATATTATATTATCCTTAATTTCACTATTCATCAACAATTATGTAAAGCCCACTTGATTTTGTGAATGATAATATATTGACGGCCTAAAATCATTTTATTTTATGCGTCTATTTAGTTAATTAAACATAGATGCCGGCTCTTATGATAAGGGATTTTTAGAATATTTCTCTTAAATGTTACATTATCATAATATGTATATGTGGTACCAGTTGTAATAATATACATATATTTATTGATATGTAGTTATAGTTGATTAATTTGCCTATTGTTGTTACTGTATGTTAAGGAGCATGTCATAGACTATTTTCATGTAAATAGCTAAAGAAAATCTATCTAGATACATGTACAAAGTTCACATTGTTTTGCTTGTAACGATTAAAAAGTTAGATCTGTATTTTGTCATTCTCGTGAGATGTACAAATATCAAATATAATAAAGGTATAAAAGTTGGTACATCTTTTTTTAATTCTTTACACAAAATGTAATCATTTGTTGTCAAACTCAGCATACTTTTAGTTTGGACCTGATAAGTTGGACCTGAACACATCGATAGACAAAAAATTAGACTTGCAACGAATAGTATATTCGGCGAGGCCCCTGACCGAATAGCCGAATATTAGGCAAAAGTATTGGCTGGATTTTAGCGCCAAAAACTTGTATAGACGTGATTGTTTCGCGCTCCTTTGTTTTGTTCTAATCTGCCATCAAGCTAAAATGCGGCTAAATGACAAAACCAACTTTTGAGATATGGCCAAAAACGGCGCGTAAAAATTTTAAATTATTGCTATTATGTAACCATTCATCACATGACTGAATGAATTAAAAACTGTTAACTTGTTTAATACAGAAAATGATTAAATTATGTACCTGTTTTATGTACCAATGACTACTTAATAAATTATTATAAAAGAAATGAGAACCTTACCCTTCTAAATTTTGATTACCACAATAATTCAAATAGGTACATAGAATCCTCCATTTTTCCAATTCAGAAGATGATTATGTACCCGTGTTATGTACCAATGACTACTTAAATAATTATATAACAGAAATGAAAATATGAATATATACGTAATCAATCGATTTTTTTTTCATTTTACCAATTATTTCTCTATGACAAAATAATATATTATTTAAGTATTCGGTATTCGGCCGAATATTCGTTGCAAGTCTAAAAAAAAAATACATTATACGCTTTATTCACATAAAGTGTCAGCCAATTAAAATTGTAAGAAATGGAGTAACGAAATTTGTCTATATTTTTATTATAATTTATTTTTATTTGTACACCATGTAGCAAATTACCCTACGTCCCTACCTGATGACAAGTCATGATGTTGTGAGTGGAGACTCCACTGTTAAGTCTAAATATGACTATAGCTGATGCGGAAAATGTGCCACACTTTAGCCGCATTCTCGCTTAGGGTCAATTTACACTAGCGCAGCAGAGTCGAAGCGCATCGAAGCGTAAATCCAATTATTAACTTAACAAATTCAACCTTATCTCCACAGCGGACTGCACACAACTTCGGAGAATTTAAAAGACGCGCGCTCATTCGACGGTATTCGCGTGTCTGCGCGTGACCAAAGCTGATTGGTGCGCGCGCATTCTCACGAATCCGCGCGCTCACTTACCTAACTCTCAGAGTAGGGCTGCCATCTCTAAAATGTGGCAACCAGGATCAGAGGCGTGATAACCCCGGATTTTGGAGCCCAGAACCCGGACAGACCAATAAAAAAACAGTTAAAAATGTCACAAATCAACTTTTTTTTGTTGATGTAGGCAAAACAGCTAGCGGTCTACCTCATAATAAGTGGTCACTGCTGCCCATAGACACTTGCAGCACCAAGGAAAGCTGATCTTTGTTGGAAGTCTGCATTTATGGTTACAGTGTTAGAATAGACTTATTCATTTTCAAAGACATTTAAATTGACGGATTAATTGGCAACCCAAAACAGGAAATTTTTAAACCCGGACGACAAATGAAACCCCGCCCGGACGCTCCCCGGACGCCCCGTAAACTAGGACAAATCCGGGGAAACCCGGACGGATGGCAGCCCTATCTCAGAGTAACAAAGTCTATGGAGAAGCTCTTGTCAACATATAGAAAATTTTACATATATAAATACGAGGCATTTATGACATAAAGCGTAAAATATATCTTTATCTCTTTCTTTCCCCAGTACAATTGTGTTTGACGAAAGAGACATATATATTCCACTCAATGCTAAAATATCATAGAAATCTGTCAAAAGTTTAGGCACGTGCCAATTCCGCCATTAAAAGTTACGAGTTTTGAGGTATTTGTTCTGTCATCAGTTTATTTACAATTTGGAAATATGTAGATATACTGCTTTACTAAGAGAAAATATGTGCTAAAATACGTGGTAGTGCGGAAAAACTGGTTGTAAAGATGCCTAAATGTTGTGTCGTGATGTGTAGTGCAAGAAAAAACAAAAATCAACCTCAATTGACGCTTCATAGGTTAGTATCCCGTTTCTTAGCAAAATAACTCATAAATCACTCAGATTGAAAAGAAAAACATAACATAATCCTATATTGATGTTACAAATGTTGATATAAGGTCATATTTATGTGATAAAGGCATTATTTCTATTATTTTATTTATCTTATGTTTACTAATCAGATTAGGGTTGTGTCATATCAATATGATGTTAGTAATTAATGTTTATTTTATTTTTAGATTTCCGAAGAATGAAGCTTTGAAGGAAAAATGGTTAGAGGCCATCGGCAAACGAAATATTAATCCTCGGCAAAAAATTAGGTACCTCTGCTGCATTGCATTTTAAGGAAAGCGGTTTTAATAAAACACTTTATGTAATACGTTTTCGTGAAAACTCATTGCCAACAATTTTTCCATTTCCAGTAAGTGTTATTTATAAAAAATATGTAAATAAATGACCATTATAATTTCAGCCTAGTCACACACAACTAATATTTTATTATTTAAGTTGTGACTATACTAAGAACTTAAATGCTTGCTAATGCCTAAAAATCGTTCTAAATCCTGGAGGTTGTACTCAT